TTTTGTGAGAGCTTGGACAATCCACTTGTCCAGGCAAGAAGGCAGCAATGCCTGTTCATTCTGGCGAAGTAAAATAAAATATACCAACCAACCAACCAACAATTCCAGGATGTTAATTCTACACTTTTTGTGGGTATGAATGTCTCTAGTATTTTCCCTTTGCTGAGTATATTATTTTGGTGCTTGCCTCTTCTTTTGCATGGATGCCCCGTGATGATGCCCAATGGGCGAAACATTGGCATTAGGAAATCGATTCGATGCAGCTGAGAGCCTGTTATGTACGGTGTGCAATGGAGATATTTTCCGATTATTATTATTTAAATTTTGAATAGGGCAATCCCCACAGGCCTAAGGCCTCTTTACAGGGTACCCTATGTGATCACGTACAGATTTGCGGAATAGTGAAAGCGAGGAGCAAAAGAGCGAATGTCATGCAGCTGGAAGAGAATTCCAGTGGTCAGAAGCCAGAAAGCTCAAAGTGAATAAGCCATAACGATTGCGTGCTTTAAGCAGAGCAAGTGAATCTATGGACTGGGAACGTGTACGGGCAGCTGTGTGTTTTGTGGCAGAACGAAAGCAGAAGCAGTCAGAGAGCAGAGTGCTACACATGCCACGTAGGGCCCGAAAGACAAGAATATACAGTTTAAGCTGATAGCGCCATGCAACAGGAGCAAGGCCATATCTGGTGTGTAAGACTGAAACATCATAGTGCCAAGGGAAACCAAAAACAATCCTAACAGCGCGGTTAGCAATACGAGTTAGTCTATCATGTTGTGTGGTGATCGACTTGAGAAATGTAACCAGGTGCGCGTCGCAGATGGTTTTGTTGATTATTATTGTAGTCATGGATTGTCGTGATAGGTCATCCTGCATCATATTGTATTGAAATCGTAATCCTGTTGATGTCGATACAACTTTTGGAAGTATTTCATTGACTTCAAAGTGTTAGTCCACGATTGTCTAAAACAACTGACCGCTTATTATCTTGTTACATTCGTGGATAGTTGCTTCATAACTCGTTTCCATGTGTTTTCTTCTTCCTTTTCTGCTTTTAAGATGATCTGTTTTTATTCATAGTAAATGGTGGTAAACCCGCACCTGGCTATGTGGCGGTAAATACTAGGGCTCAAACGATTAGTCCGATTAACCGGTTGCAGACCGGGTACGAAGAATTAACGGTTAACCGATAAAGATAACGGTTACGCAGTAACTTTTCAGTCAATTTTTCAAGTATCAGGTCGTTGCAAAGTGTGCACTTTCGCGGGCTGTCGCACGCGTACGCAATTATTTCTGGGCTGTCAACTCGGTCATATCCGGTCTCTTGTATGAATGAGCATGCAAGAGAATGTACAAGTGTGCGTTGTACTGAATAGGGTACATTTTTTGAATGAGTATAGTCAAATATACGGTTAAAAAAGAGTCCGCAGGATTGCCGTGGCGTATAGGTTATAACCGGTTAACCGACCGTTAGCTTAGCAGTTAACCGTCAGGGGTAAAACCGTGACCGTTTGAGCCCTAGTAAATACACTCCGGCCCACTGTTGTCTGATACTGGTACATGTAATATGCATTGTCTCACTGTGTAGTTAGCGCCACTAGCGCTATCTTTTAAAGTGCTATTTGGTCTATGCTCTGACCGCCAAATATGTTGTTGGCGCTATTTTTCAAGTTGTATTTTTGTCAAAATGTTAAATGCTCTGACCGCCAAACTGGTTATAAGGACTTGCTTGCTACCTTGTTAATCACCATCGTATTCGACGTGAAGAGTAATGGTACGAAAGGCCTAGTCGAAATTATATTATGGCTTCTGTGCTTCGTGTGCTGATTTGCTTTCCTCCAACCAAAAATCCACTCCGAATAGTCATATTATAATTATAAACGTTAAGAAATAAGAAAAAACCCTACTTCGAAGTACAAACAAGCAGGATAGACCAAGCAGGACTGAGCAACTGGGAAGAAAGTTATAGCAGCAGCTGACACTCAGCACTGAGCAGCCAATGAGGCTGAGGACGCTGCAGCATCGCTAACCTGGCTGTACGATGGTGGCCGCGCAGGCTTGCAACAGTGGACCTGACCAAGCTGAATGCCAACACTGATCTGACATGAGCCATTACACTGGCGCTGCCAGGGCTCGTTCTTTTCAGTCTCAGACATCAATGCAGATCAGCCGCTTCAGGAAGGCAAAGGCAGCTTTTCTGGTGCCGCCTGTGGTGCTGAAAACGGGGGAGTAGTACATTACCGGTATTGTACTACTCCCTGCTGAAAACCAGGGGCACAAATGATGCTCTCTCGACTTCTCTGACGCGTTCTTCATACTTCGAAGTAACAGCGACGCTTCTCGCCTTCATGCAGTAGTAGTAGTAGTAGTAGTAGTAGTAGTAGTAGTAGTAGTAGTAGTAGAATTTATTATTTTGATAGGGAAGGCCCTACATGTCGGGCATATGTGGAGGGCAGGGACTGAGCTGAGGTTGAGGCAGCATGGAGGTTGAAAACCCGTACATCGAAAAAGGTGCCCTCAAACTAACTGCCCCACACTCCGGTACTCCACTGGCAGCAACATCAAGGCGTGCGCTATCATCGCGGTTGGCTGTGCGGTGGCGAAGCTGTTCGCCGGTCAGCGGTTGCAGCCCTGGCTCCAGTCCACGGCCACATCCTTCGCGACTCTGTGCAGAATAGGCCCAGACAGATTCTGCTCCGCTTGCCTCTATATTTTGCCGCAAAATGTTGCTGCGAAATCTTCGATATTTTGCCGAGCCTGGCACAAGAAACTCGATATTTTGCTCCATTTTACTCCTAAAAACGTGTATTTTATCCCCTTTTCCGCACAATCCCGTACAAAGTTTCATCAAAATCGCAGGGTCGGTTTTTTATTTTTTTAATTTTTTTATTTACTTGAAAAGCACATAACCACCAGGAAAGCTGACAAAGAAAAAGAGTAAGAAAAGACAGATAAAAAGAGAGCTGTTTCTCAGCACGGGTTTCCACGCACGTGTCCCTGAGTTCTTCCAAAATCACGTCGATCCACAGTGAATCCCAGTGATATTTCGGTTACATGATCTCGTCCTGGGCAGTGTATCCTGCTGAACGGGTAAGAAACAAGGAAATCCAAGTATCAGGCATCGATTTTACCCAACATCTCGATATTTTGCTCCAATTTTGCCGGCAATTTCCGCTCTTTCAATTCTTCGATATTTTGCCGAAAGAATTGCCGGCAGGATCTGTCTGGGCCTAGTGCAGAAACGAGGCAGTGGTGGTGCACCGCTCGTTGTGGCGCATGGCTTCCGTAGATCAGCTCAGAGCATGCGATACCTCGGATCTCTTGCCGCATGCGCGCGTGGATGGCAGCCTTGCGGGAGTCCAGCCGCAGCGCAAGGCAAGCGCATCACGGAAGGCACCCTTGTGCAGCGTGAAGCCGTGAAAATGAACAAAGGTACGACAGATATGGCTCGAATAATACCCCCAAATCGATGAAGCTTCGAAGAATGATAAAGAAAGAAGCGTCCCGTATGTCACGCCTTGGAGTCGACCAATGACAAATCAAACTGCGCGGGCTGGAAAGCGTGGTCCTGACTTCTCAAAGGTGATGGTATTGAATCTGCTGCCCGTCGTCAAGTGACGTGACATCAAGTGACGACAGGCAGGAAAAAGAAGGCACTATGGACAGGTGGTGATGTCGACCAGCTGGTGAGGGAAGCGCGCACCATCTACACTTGTAGCCGCAGCTGGTATCCGCAGCCAAAGCCAAGAACGAGAGAGTATCAAGCACCCCGATGATGCCCGTCGCTTTGCCTACCTGATAGCAGAGTGCAAAACCACCACCGCAGTCAGGATGCTGTCCGATACCAGCTATAAGGGTGTCTTGTCCCTCGACGACAAGATCAATGGGCAAACAGTCAGGGACATTCTGACCGCCAAACATCCGCCGGCAGAAGACCTGCAAGATAGCGCAGCAATCACAGGTGTCCCGCCCCCACCTCCCCATCCACTCAAGTTCTCCGCCATCACCAGGGATGTTTAGGGCTCATCGTCCCGGCCTCCCAGGATCCTAGGACCCTGTCAGTCCAGTATCGTGACTCTAAAGCCACGCCCTAACACATGCCCTAATCCACGGCCTCGTCACTGAGAGCGTATTTTGCTTCAGGATGAATCCCTTGACTGCATCTGCATAACACAAGACTGAAAAGCGAAGGCAGATGCTTCAGCCCAAGCCGCCCGTGTACCAGGTGTACGCATGGACCATGCCAAGTCCATCAAGGATAGCTGCCTTCCTGCCATGCTTCGGGTGCAGGAGCTGGCTTCAGAGAAGGGAGCCTCTAGTTGGCTTACCTGCAGCCCGCTCCCGTCACTACGGTTTTGCTCTCAACAAGCAAGCTTTCCGCGACTCGCTTCATTTGCGCTATGGAGTGTGGTTGGATCCCGGCTGGACTGCCCTCAACCTGTGCATGCGGCACTTCCTTCACACCTGAACACGCTTTGTCCTGCCCAATCGGTGGCTACCCCTCTATGCGTCACAGTGACCTCCGTGATCTAACAGCATCCCTCCTGATCAGCTATAGTATAGCTGTGACGAATGACGTGATATGAGCGCTGAACCTTCCCACCAACCAAGCGCACCCCGGTCCCCGGAGTCGCACCCTTGGGTTTGGCCTTGAGCAGGGAGCCGGGAGCCCAACGCGGCTCCCGGCTCCCTGCATGCATGGCCTTGGTCTTGGATACGTCACCGCCTGGCACTCAAACAGTCGAACGCTGCATCGATGGGGATCCCGGGGAGTACGGACCTAGCCCGGAAGCAGTGAATGTGTACGCATATGGGCAAGACGTGTTAAGACGAGCCAAGAGTTCATGACCTCGCGTACTTTCCATTCCATGCAAGGCGCAGGGATCCTTGTACGGATGCTGTGAAGTGTGAGCTGTGTTCTTTCATGAGGCCTCGAGCTCGTATACCATGTATACGGTATGCTCTTGGCCACGCCGACTCACGGAGTGCAAGGAACACTCGAGTACGAGTTCGTACTCTAGCAATCCGCAATACGTCTCCGGTTTCCTTCGTTTGCCAAGACAAATATCAGTACGTCCTTGGTGTCAACATCCCAACCATTCCCTTCTAGCTTCCTTCTCGTATTTCCCTCTCAGCCGAAGCTCTCATTTTCTTCCCGAAACCGTCTCCAAACCCACGCGTCCACCTTCTACTTGTTGAGAGCACGTTGGAAGAAAGGTAAGGTAGCGTAGATGTACGATAGATGTTCTTGCTATAATTATTATTGTATAGAAGACAGTTGGGGTACCGGATGTACTACTAGTATATTAGGGAGTCGTCAAAGTCAAATACCGGTACTTGGCGACTCCCTGCCGCATGTACAGCTCCGGAGCTCCGAGTCTTGTAGCATCAGGTGGCAACTGGCTTCAAACGTACTGTCTGACTGTGGTACTAAAGTCTTTCATGCACTGCAACTGCTTTTTTTGTAGCTGCGAGGAACATTTCTTGCCTTTTGGAAACTCTCCCTAAGCTACATTTCCGAAGAGGTGAGTTAGCTTGCATTCTCTTTACTTCTCATGGCTATTGTAGCCTGCTGTTGCCGCTTTCGTTTTGTGCCTCGGAACGTTCGAGCTCGATCTGTCTTCATAATTATTGCGTACATGAACGCTTAGCAAAGTGTACTACGCTAGCGACATCAACCAGGCACAGGTAGCCAGACAGACAGACATGCCAGCTACCCAGGTAGATAGTTGGGTCCTGGGTCTTGGGCATTTGGGACGTGTTGCAAAAGAGGGATCCGCGAGCGGGATTCGAACGCAGCACCCCTGTCTTTCCGGGGACAGTGCCATATCGATTAGGCTACAGGGGATCACACACCACACACACCTGTGGCTCCTTGCCACACTGCTCCCCTGTCCCAACAGGCTGTGTCCTCACGCCGTACCTACTCGCCGGGGGGGGGGGGGGGGGGGGGGGGGGGTACCATGGGTAGTGGGTTTGAACCATTGCCAGGCGCCAATGTTGCAAAAGAAGGATCCACGAGCGGAATTCGAAGCCAGCACCGCTGTCTTTCCGGGACAGTGCCCTGCCGATCAGGCTACCGGGGATCACACACACACACACGCACGCACACGCACGCACACACACACACACACACACACACACACACACACACACACACACACACACACATACACCCGTGGGTCCTTCTTCCTACAGATGGATCCAGAGTTCAGACATGGCACATGCTTGTTGCTGGGTCCCAGCCAGGCAGTCGTACTCAAACTAGGGAGGTGACACGGCACGGAAATCCGTGTCACAGGGGTTGACTCGCACCCGTAACCCCTCGTTGTTATTTTTGGAATAGTTCAGTCCAGTCCAGTCCAAAAGGTCATACTCGGATCGACTCGCCTTCTGTACTTCACCTCCAAGCGTGCCGCATGGATGTCTAGTTTTTGAAATTTTTGAGGCAGCACATTTCGTTTATAACCCATCACTCGCCAGTATTCTTTGAAAGACTACCAGCAATTTTTTAGCTCCTACCATGTCCGAACTACTTGATAGCAGTGATGGCAACAGCAGCAGTTATGAGACGGCGTGTAGTGTTGCGGCAACTGTTCAGAACTGTTCAGAGTCGTATCCTAGGTTAATCCGAATACTAAAAATTGACCCAAATTGCACATAACACGAAGCTGGTTTTTGAAAAATGTAAGTCGTGTATCTGCCCCATTTCTTCTTTATGACTTGCACAATACACCTGTCTTCCTAAACAACACATTTATAGCAGGGGTTAAGTACTATAATAAGAGAAGTACAGTCAGTGATATTGTCTAAATACTACAATTTTGACACAAATTACACATAACACGAAGCCAGGTTTTGAAAATTGTAAGTCGTGTATCTGCCCCATTTCTTCTTCATGACTTGTACAATATACCCGTCTTCCTAAACAACACATTTATAGCAGGGGTTAAGTACCATACAAGAGAGCTACATTGTACATCTAGTCATACTGTCATAAACAGCCAGCATTTTTCCTGCAGCAGTCACACCACCATCGTCATTATTTCCACGGAAATCCTCTTACATTGTTAGCTCCTACGTAGTTAGATACAATGTAGGGGACTGTAGGACCGGCTCGTCAAAAATAGAGAACCTGAACAAGCGTGCTCGGGACGTCTGAGCAATCATAGTATGCCTGAGCACTCCAATAAAAACTTAATCAATGGCAAAACCGTTCCTCACAGAAAAATCATACTTTGCTGGTCTTGCGTTGCACGCTTGGAGGTGAAGTACAGAAGGCGAGTCAATCCGAGTATGACCTTTCGGACTGGACTGGACTGAACTATTCCAAAAATAACAACGAGGGGTTACGGGTGCGAGTCAACCCCTGTGACACGGATTTCTGTGCCATGTCACCTCCCTAGTTTGAGTACGACTCCCTGGTCCCAGCCAATGAGCGTGCCGAATATGCGGGCAAGATCAGTCGATCTTGCCCGCTTGTTCTGTACACAATACTGTGTACCTGCTGTTCATGCCCGCATATCCGGGCATGGTCAGCAGCCATAGAAAATCGCGCCACACATTCGTACATGCAGTCAAATCTGCCGTTAGCGACCTCTGCTGTAGGTGACCATCTACCGTTAGCGACCGATTTTCCGTGCACCGACGGTTTCGCATACAAACTGATCTGTCCAGAGCGACCATCTGCTGTGCGCGACCAGCGACCGCGATTTCATGCACGGTGGCTGCATTCAAATCTGCTGTAAGCGACCGCGACCCAGGTTCAGTCAGGTGCGAAACTGTACTTGCCAGTGCGCTGTCAACTGCAAGGTGTGAAAATGCGCTGTCTTGCAAGTGCGATCGACTGGCCCTGGCATGTACTGAGGCTGCGCTGTAGTGTAGCTCTCAAATCCAGGCAGTGTCAATCTACTGCCGTGTCGCATACGCGTATACGGGCATGGTCGTCGTAGGTATGCACGCCACACTTACCGTAGACTTCGTACACATGTACTTGTACGCACGCAGTTGTAGTGAAACAACCTTCCTGTAGGCTACAAAACAGAACAGCGACGTTCACGGCAGCCTCGTTGGAGTGTAGTCGGCTTTCGCATGAGACGGAACAATGCTACATCCTCAAGCAAGAAGCGTCGCTGTCTCTCTGTGCACTATTCTTGGGTTTGTGCACCCCTATATTCTATTGAATATCCAATAAAATGATATTAAAAATCACATTATTCTCGTCGATTTGAGTACATGGAAGCATATATGCATGCCCGGTATGCCGGATTTACCATACATCTGCCGTATGAGACCATCTGCCGTAAGAGACCGCTTTTTCTTGCACCAAGGGGCGGTCGCTTACGACAGATTTGACTGTACCATTAATTTTTTTCTAAATCATTGCCTTGGTCAACATCTCTGAGGAGTTCTTCTAAATTTGCCTCGCTTCTCCAAGGCTGCTCACCGCTGTCCTGCAGGGTTGCCCAAAACGTCAACCGACCTTGCAGCTGGTCGGGTTGCTCGGCGAAACAATCGCAACGGAAGCAGACCTCAGCAAGTACTCGCATTTGAACCGTACTCTGGCAATCATAATACCGGAACTGGTGATTATCGGTACCAAGAGTAGATAAACAAGAGTGTGCAACTCCGGATCTCTCCTGCACAATCTGCAGATACCCCGCGCCCACGGCGGAATTTTTTGTTTACGTCACCTTTTTTCAGAGAAACGCGGCTTTGCCGCAGAGCAGTGTGAGAGCACGTGCTGGGCACCGACCTTGCAGTGTAAAGCCCAGCCAAGTGCACGAGGGAAAACTCTCCAAAAGGCTCGCAGCGCGTGCGTCGTCGAAAAGATTACGTCAACAAAAAATTCCGCCGTGGGCCAACCCATGCGGAGTTGCACACTCTTGTTTATCTACTCTTGTCGGTACTAATGTTACTACTGTACTCAGGCGCGTGACCCGTATGGATTCCTGGGTGCCCCGAATCCCCCTTTTTTGCTCAAAATGCAGGATTTTGTTTCGTTTTTGAAATTTTTCCCGGGGGACGCCCCGGAACCCCCCTTGAAGGGCACCGGCGCACGCACCTGATACTACCTTCACCGGTCTTGAAATATTTTCAGCTCAAAACTGGAAAGTCACGGCCACGCGAACCTGCACAACATGCAATGTGTGTACAAGCTCCGTGTCGTATGACCTACAGACAGGAAACCACCTCCACAAATCCGTCCACGAAAGGACGAGATGGTGGGGCGCTCTGGTGGTACTTTACCCTGCTGTCACATTGTCATAAAGCAAAATTTCAGCCGCAGCAAATTTTAGGCCTCAAAGGCCCAGGCCGAAATTTTCCAAAAACAAATATAATAGCAATAAAGAGAACAAATTCTGTTGTCATCGCCACACTACAACAAAGTCATGAAGGTTTACCAAAATCGATTTTCTTGTCGCAATCATCAGTGGAAAGCCGTGACTGAAGAGAAACCATGCTGAATCAATGATTAATATACATTCAATAATGTGTTACGAGAACAAAACAAAGTGCTAAAATAGAATGAGGGAAAGTGAGACAATAGAAGTGAAGTGAGAGCTAAGTGCAACAGGGGTGAGGAACTAATTGCAACGCTAGAACTGTGTGGCGATGACAGCAGAATTTGTTCTCTTTATTGCTATTAGAGAGGTTTTGCAGAGCGAACGTTCGCAATGATTTTCGCGTTCCGGGTTGCGAAAACTATTGCGAACGTTCGCGCGAAATTTGTGTTTTGCATGTTTTTCGCTCCCAGGAATTTTCGCGTGCACTCGCTTGTTTGAGAAGTGGTCTTCATCCGATTATTTTGTTGTTGCGAGTGACGGCACCCTGAGGCATGGCCTGAGACGAGAGCTCTTTGACTACCTTGTCCATGGCCGGAGACTCACAGACAAACGGGTTGGCTTGTGCCGTAATCTGGCGCATCAACACCTGAAATTCAAAAAGGCATCGTTGATGTAACCGGCTCTGAGCAGTGAGAAGACGAGCAGGCAGGAGATCGGGGATGGTTCCGGAGATGAAGCAACACGGGCTGCCACAAGTATAGGAAAGCTAGCACCCGCGGACCAAGCCAAGAGTAGAGATCAAGCACAAACATGAGGATTGAGGGTGGCTCGCCGCGCACGAACAGTCCACAAAGAGCGAACATTACTGCGAACGTTTGCATGTTTCTCGCTCCAAGAAAATATCGTGTGCACTCGCTTGTTTTTGAGAAGTGTTCTGCATCCGATTATTTGTTTGTTGCGAGTGGCGGCACGCGCACCAGGTTCCCTGAGTCACGGCCTGAGACGAGAGCTCTTTGACTACGTTGTCCATGGCCGGAGACCCACAGACAAACGGGCCGGGTTGGCTTGTGCCGTAATCTTGCGCATCAACACCTGAGATTCAAAAAGGCATCATTGATGTAACCGATTCTGAGCAGTGAGAAGACGAGCAAGCAGGAGATCGAAGATGGTTCTGGAGATGAAACAACACGGGCTGCCAAAACTATCGGAAAGCTAGCACTCGCGGACGAAGCCAAGAGTAGAGATCCAGCACAAACATGAAGATTGAGGGTCGCTCACGATCACCGTACACCAGGCTGACCAGCGGTCCACAAAGAGCGAAAATTACTGCGAAAGTTTGTTTCGCGTTTCCTGCAACTTTCGCGTTCAAAACTGCGAACGTTCGCACGAAGTTTCGCTTTTCGTGACGTCAAACGAAAATTCGCGCGAACGTTCGCTCTGCAAAACCTCTCTATTATAAAATTGTTGTCTCCGCGTCGATTAAAAACAAATACGCGCCGATTTTTTGTTGACTTACAGCACGTGTCCAGGTGTGTATCCGTGCAGTCATCTTATAAAGTGTTTACTTTTGTCTTTCCTATTCCTCTTTTTTTCCTCTTTCCAAAGATACGCACGATGAACAAGCACGCTCTTCTTCTTCTCCTCCTTTGCGCTGCCACATTCGGCTATTCCCGTGAGTCGTCCGCCCAGGCGTTGGTGCATGCAGTCGTGTGTGTGTGTGTGTGTGTGTGCGCGCACGTGCGCACACTCATGAGTGTGTTTATTTTTGAAGTCCACCCATAGCTTGGAGGTTCGGGGTTGTCTGCCACTGGGCGGTTCAATAGCAAATTGAGTCTTCTTTCCAAGATTACTTCTGAATCTCTCTCCCCTCTCCCAAAGTTAGGCCCACGTGACCACTCTCTGCCAGTGAGCATGTATAAGTGTGGACGTGTGTGTGTATGTGTGTGTGTGTGTGTGTGTGTGTGTGTGTGTCTGTCTGTCCGTCTGTCTGTGTCTGTGGACGTCCGTTTCGTCGACGAGGAGACCTGGAACGACATTCCAAGTCCTGTGCTCGTATTCTCACTTGAACTTTCCGACATTCGCTATCATTGCGTACGCAATGGGCAAGATCAAGGTGTGTGTGTGTGTGTGTGTGTGTGTGTGTGTATGTGTGTGTGTGTTGTCTTGATGTCGGATGCTGCACAGTCCTTCCAGTGGCGAGGCCAATGGGCTGGACAACGAGCAAGCATTGTCCCGAGCAGAAACTGCCGTGTCATCCTCTCTGCGTGCATGTAGACCACATGGCCTAGCCACTCCAACCGGCGGTTCGCAATCTTGATGTTGATAGATTTTGTTGAGCTGACCCTTAACCTGGCGCGTTGGAGTGAACCACGTTGAAGATGGATGGGCATCTTCTTCTCAGCGACACACTTATGACAGGCCATGTAGAGCGGGGATTGCAGATGATCTGTGCCATATGGTGCATTCCACTCGAGCCGGTGCTGGCGTTGGTAGAAATGGTGCATGCACAGACTGGCGCCATTCAGACCTCTCCGAGGCAATGTCGAACCAGTTTCGAAAACGTTGGAGGTCCCCGCGCAAACATATCCTTCGAGTGCCGATGAGGACCATGGGCAGGCCGGGTCGCTTCCAGGGACCCAAACAGGAGTTGCCGCGGTGCACGCTCGGGTTAAAGGCACACCATATGACCAAGCCAATCAAAACGACGATGCCAGATCCTCTCCGATAGTGCAATAGGATCTCCCCAGCGATATCGCAGCTGCTGACACACGCGGACGCACGCACACACACACACGCACACACACACACGCACGCACACACACACACCACACACACCACACACACACGCACACACACACACACACCACACACACGCACACACCCCACACACATGCACACACACACACACACACACACACACACACACACACACACCACACACGCACACACCCCACACACACGCACGCACACACACACACCTTGAAACCTTGAAACTGCCACCTAAAGGTGATGCAGTGCCTCAAAGAGGCAAGGAGGGCAGAGGTACTTCTTGCATTTGTGTTGAGCCAGGTACTGGAGACGTGTGAACTTCCGAGAGCAGGTCGGGCATGGGATGGTGCAGCGCTCGGAGCCAGAGCTGCATGTTCTGCGGTTGCAGTTGTGCCGGCGGTGCCCAGCTTTGCTCCGGAAACAGCGGTCACAGGTGTGGCATTGGTACTGACATTGGCTGCAATCAGGTGGGCGAGGTGCAACTATCTCTGGAACTGGAGCGTCACCAAGGCTGGGAGAGCAGCTGTGCACAGCAAATCCACCTCGGCTAGCAAACCAACGATGGCACGTTTCGCACAACACAGCACCGCCCTGTTCATGGATCGGCTTCAGTCGCTCTTCCCTGCATTTGTGCCGCCGAAGTCCGCTTTCACTGGCGAAGAGTCGATCACAGATCGCACAACACACTGACTTGGCTGTTGTTTCAAGGCGTAAGCGCATTGCAACAATGGCATCCGAGATGGACTGGATCCATTCGCCACGTTCAGCTGCGAGGTCGTATCAACCGGTGTATAGACCGAACGCCTTGAGGTCATCGCGTACCACATCACGCCATTGACGCCTGGGGGCCATGAGCAGGGCCTGGAGTATGGAGCCACGAGAACAACACTGCCTTTGGAAGCCGGTGGTCCTCCATCCTGGCAATGTGGCGAATCCACTGCAGCCGTACACACGTACACACACACGCCACACACACACACACACACACACACACACACACACACACACACACACACACACACACACACACACACACACACACACACCACACCACACCACACACACACACACACATTAACTACAACACACAGCAGCTTGCGGTTTGGAGGGTGCTGGCCAGCGAAGTGAGAGGCTACGGAGAGAGCAGGATCTTGGCAGAGCCAGGGGCGTAGCACCCGCTACGACTCGTACGACCATGGCCGTACCACTTTTCGAAGAGTGTTGTCCGTCCGGAACGTGCAAAACCGTAATAAAAAAATCAGGATCCATCGATGCATATGCGCATCAGACTTTGACCTTTTTCTAGACTCGTAGAGTCTACTCGTAGATCTGCCATGCATCTGCAGTCGTACTGAGTACTGTACTCGACTCGACTGCACACTGCACATTCATTCACAGTCATGTCAGAGCAGTGCATACGATCGCGACTCGTAGATCTACGAGTACGAGTCGTGCGTGCCAGATACTGGATACTGCACTGGCATGGTGCATGTCTATGCATGATCGTAGGTCCTGCCTTGCTTGTTGTACTGGACCTTTGCTCGAAATGAATAAACTAGGCCAGGAAGTAGCACGGTACGGACTCGAACTCTCCGGTCAGTTCGTTTTGAGATCGGTGATGGTGGAGGCACCTTGGCCAGAAGTTGGCGAAGAGCTGTTTCAGTCAAGAGACAATGAGTTTCCGAAGCGAAGCTACGGAGTGAAGGTAGCTGTGTTTCGCCGTTTTCAGCCCGAGTGGTTTGATCAGTTCCCCTGGCTTCACTGGGACGTTGGCAGCGAGAAAGTGTTTTGCTACGCTTGCGTCCGTGCATCCAGGCAGAATCTGATCTCTTCAGGAAATTCGGATTCGGCATTTATCTCGACAGGCTTCCAGAATTGGAAAGATTCAAAGCGAGTGATGACAGGCCACGCTGTATCAGGATGTCGCAAGGAGGCTGTGAAGCGCTTACAGCAAATCCCTCAAGCGGTCGGTGATGTTGGGGAGCTGTCAGACCCGCAACTAGCGAAGGAACGACAGCAACACCGCCAGTGCTTCTTCAAGATCCTGCAGGCGCTGAAGTTTCTGGCCAGGCAAAGACTTCCTCTCCGAGGCGCAACTAAGGAGGATGGTCGTCAGGCGAAATTACTGGTCAGTTGGCGACACGCATTTTTCACAAAAATTTGCGTTTCACCTGCTGGGAGAGTATGCGTGTACTCGAGTCTCATCCTGAGCACGTTTTTTTCTTCTTTTTTTCGGCTCCAGTATAGCTGTATTTTTCATTGCAAAGCCGTCCTCGATTGTTGTGTTCGTTGTTCAAACGAAGTGGACATTCAATCATGAAGGCAGAGGACATAGGAGCCTGATTGGAGTTTCTCGTGGCATAGAACGGCCACACAGAGACACTTTGGGATTTTCTGAATATAAAATACCGTACGCTAGATGCTGAGATCAATTTGTGCGATATCAAATTGTTTGTGATCTACCACATCGAGCAGAACGGGATCCAAACACAAGCTTACCGACGGTTAGGCTGCCGACCTGACTGGACAAATGATCCCTGGCTTCACCAGACGCCAGAAGTCGGACACCATGTCCTTTGCCACGACGTCCATCTCCAAAAAGAACTCCATCTTCGTCGTGAAAAGGCTTGAAATACTCAATATTCAACCGAGATTCGCGGTCTCACCCTTTCTCAGATCGAATCATTTTTTGTTGTAGCAGTTGCAGGGCAGATCCCCGCCACTACTTCAACAGGAGATGGCTCCAAAGCATGCCTGGAACAAGCCATATCGAGGTTGCAAGCCACCCCTCTCAGCAAGAAATTCGAAATTTCAATGGTGGAATATATACTATGAAGAGAATTTCCAAAAGTATGTTTTGCGGAGCGATCGCTCAACCTATGTCATTCAAACTTTGCAGGATGGTTCAGACGTACATGCTAGGCATGGAACCACAGGAGATGATATCATAGCTGACACACAGAGTCACACACACAGCAGATTCGTGTGCACAGATCCTAAATTAGTGGACGTCGTCATCTTCTTCCCGCTGATCTCAAATGTACTATGACGTGCTATTTCGCCTGACGGAAGTTGATGGGCACTTCATGCAGTTGCATCTCCCACGTGTCCATGCACGTCTCTTGTGACCGTGACATTTTATGACTTAAGCTGTGCCAGAAGTTCCCAGAACGCAGGATTTGTGTCTTTTTTTTACAAAATTTTGCAGGAGGAGTTCCTCAGACCCCACTCCAACACGGCCTTTGGCCGCGCCGACCTTCGGTCGTACCACTTCCAAAACCCCTCCTACACCCCTGCCGAGCCAAGAGGATAGTCACGTCCGAGGGACGAAGACCGAGAGCCCTGAGTAGCCGGAAATGAGCGTGGCCAACACCCCTTTATTTACTTTATCCAAGAGAGGAGAAATGGGAGGTGGGTGGGTGAAACACAACGATCTGATAAGAGTGATCCACACACAGAACGGATCGAAATATATAACTAGGCAAACTTTAGCATACCACGTTGAGTGCCCACGACGCATGCCGCGTATGTTGAAAGTCGCGCATGAATGAATGCCACGTTGAATAACACGTAGAATGCCACAACGAATAGAGTACCATGTGAGCATGCACCAAGGCGTTTGTCCGACATGGATACCGTGATGTACAGTGCACGTGACTGTAGCCAGCAGCAAAGCATGAGCATGCAGTAAAAGCACTAGCAATCATAGCAGCATAGTTTGAGTGGTAGCACAAAGCAGCCGCGTGCACCCATTAATCTGCATTATTACTATAATGCTACACCCCCCCCCCCCCACACACACAGACACGCACACACACACACACGCACACACGCACACACGCACACACACGCACACACACACACACACACACACACGCACACACACACACACGCACACACACACACACACACACACACACACACACACACACACACACACACACACACACACACGCACATACACATGTACATGTAGTAGCCATGTAGACATACAAGCGGTCACACTGCTCATACACATCCACTGGCTTATTACCTTCTTCTGTGATATATGTGCAACTGCAGCTGCAGCTGCCACCGGCCGTTGCTCGTTTAGTAAGGGGATATCACAATGCGTGGGGTACTCAAGTGTTCCAGAGAACG